GGGCACCCCAAGTTTGTAGAAACGAGGAGTTATGAACAAAGTAAACCTTAGCCCAAACCACCACACGCGCGCACCACCGTCTGTCAGTCCGGCCGGGCCGTGCTGGGCACGGGTGTGCGTTATGGGTCGGCTTGGTTCTAATATTAATGTTTTGGACAAAATTTTTTCCTATTTTCTTGCAGGAAAAATTAATTTAAATTTTGCACATTCGTAATTTGAATTTGAATTCAAAATTTTTACCTCCTTCAGTTCAAATTCCTAACAGAAACTGCTGGACAGATTCAGGAAGTTTTATTACAGAAATTGCCGGACAGATTCAGAATAGTTGTATAACTGCAGCAGTTAGCCAATCTGTCCAGTTTTCAAATCTGAATCTGTTCGAGAGTTTTACACCTATTCAAGTTCAAATTCATACCTTTTCGAGTCTGTTTTTTGCCTATATATACTAGTCATTTTTCAGCAGTTTTTTGGTTCCGAAAATTCTTTTTTCTTGCCTTCATTTTGCTTTCTTGTATCATTATTCTTCAAACTAGTTTTAAAATAAAATAAACAGAGTATAGAACACAAGGTTTTTGTTCGCCTCACAAATTGTTTGGAGTGCTACTACAATTTGTGAGGGTCATTGTATTTTGAGAGATAGACGCCATTTATCCGTAAGCACCGTAGCGGGGCAAATCTGTGTTAAGAATAGAGTGTCACACACTCGACTTGATCTTTTAAATATTTATTCGATTTGGCAAAATAAATTCTGTAAGTAATTTATTTATTTTTGTTTGATTTGTTTCAAGTCATTTATTTTACATAAAAGATTGTTTCAAAAGCTACCTATCATGTGCAGAATATTTCCAATTTCTGTACTCTCTGTAATTAGATCATTTTGTTGCATTTTATCTCCATCAAATTCCATTCATGTGGGGGATTGTTGGAAAAATTAATTTTTATAGGCTTATTTCGGGCCAACTTTGATCCCAAAATTGAGTGGGCCCCAAACGTCTTTTGGGGTGGGTCCGATGTGTTCCTTGCCACGTTGCAAGTTACACAGTGAAGACGGTTCGTCAAAACCATTTATGAATGAATGGGAACTTGACGTCGTTTTCGGATTCGTAGAATGGACATTTAAAGAAGTAAAATGTGAGTTTCCTTGAAATGGTTATCCCACATTAGAAACTTAAGAGAATTTATGTTTGTATATAAGTTTTAGGTGGCAACACTTGAGTTAGGCCCCAAGGGGCACCCCAAGTTTGTAGAAGGGAGGAGTTATGGACAAAGTGAATCTTAGCCCAAACCACCACACGTGCGCTAGCCGCCGCCGTCCGTCCAGGCGCAAGTGTGGATTGTGGGTCGAGTTGGTTCTAATATTAATTTTTTGGACAAAATTTATTTGAATTTTTTCCTATTTTCTTGGGGGAAAAATTAATTTAAATTTTGCACCTTTGTAATTTGAATTTGAATTCAAATTTTTGTCCAAAATTTTTACCTCCTTCGGTCCAAATTCCTAACAAAAACTGCCAGACAGATTCAAGCAGTTTTATTATAGAAACTGCCATAAAGATTTAGAACAGTTGTATAACTGTAGCAGTTAGCCAATCTGTCCAGTTTTCAAATCTGAATCTATTCAAGAGTTTTGCACTTGTTCAAGTTCAAATCCATACCTTTTAGGGTCTATTTTTTGCCTATATATACCAGTCAATTTCCAGCAGTTTTTTGGTTTCAAAAATTCATTTTTCTTGCCTTCATTTTGCTTTCTTGTATCATTATTTTTCATACTAGTTTTAGAATAAAATAAAAGAGAGTATAGAACACAAGGTTTTTGTTCGTCGTACAAATTGTTTTGAGTACTACTACAATTTGTTAGGATCATTGTATCTTGGGAGATAGACACCATTTATCCATAAGCACCATGGCGGAACGAATCTGTCTTAAGAGCAGAGTGTCACACACTTGACTTGATCTTTTAAATATTTATTCGGTTCAGGAAAATAAATTATGTAAAGAATTTATTTATTTTTGTTTGATTTGTTTCAAGTTATTTATTTTACACAGAAGATTGTTCCAACAACTATGTTTGTATATTATTATTTAAAAATAAAATAAGACGAGAGTTGAATGCAACAAAAATAACAATCCCAAAATCTAATTTCAATCAATTGCTCAACTATAATATACATATGTACTAGCGTATTACCCGTGCTATGCACGGATTATGTTTCACCACTATGTCTTCTTCTTCTTTTTTATGTCTTTTTTTTTTCTTTTTTTCTTTTTTTTTATATATTATATTAAAGCTAAAGATTTTGATAATAATCATATGTGTTGAACTTTTCAAGGAATTCATGTGTTAAACTTTTCAAGGAATTTTTTTTATGCTTGTTCTTAATGTATTAAATTGTTATTATGAGGGATAATAATCATATGTGTTGACTTTTGAAGGAATTCATATGTACTTCATATGTGTTAGACTTTTTAAGGAATTTTTTTATGCTTATTCTTAATGCATTAAAGTGTTACTATGAGAGATAATAATCATATATGTTGGACTTTTCAAGGAATTCATGTGTGTTGGACTTTTCAAGGAATTTTTTTTATGCTTGTTCTTAATGCATTAAAGTATTATTATGAAAGTAAAGTTTGGGGGTTAGGAGAAGTTAATAAATGCTAAGTTCTTTTTTTTTTTAAATCAAAAAATCAAGAAATTTAAATTGGGATATTGGAGCTCGCACAAGGCTTGGGGTTAGAAATCTCATTTTCTTTATATAATATACTAGCATATCACTCGTGTTATACACGGGTTGTGTTTCACTACTTTGTCTTCTTCTTTTTTTAAATGTCTTCTTTTTTTTTCTTTTTTCTTATATTATATTAAAGTTTAATATTTTCATAATAATTATATGTGTTGGACTTTTCAAGGAATTTATGTATTAGACTTTTCAAGAAATTTTTTTATGCTTGTTCTTAATGCATTAAAGTGTTATTATGAGGGACAATAATCATATGTGTTGAACTTTTCAAAGAATAATAATTATGTGTTGGACTTTTCAAGGAATTCATATGTGTTGGACTTTTCAAAGAATTTTTTTTATACTTATTCTTAATGCATTAAAATGTTATTATGATGGATAATAATCATATATGTTGGACTTTTTAAGGAATTCATATATGTTGAACTTTTCAAGAAATTTTTTTTATGCTTATTCTTAATGCATTAAAGTGTTATTACGAGGGTAAGACTTGGGGGTTGGGAATTCATATGTGTTGGACTTTTCAAGGAATTTTTTTTATACTTATTCTTAATGCATTAAAGTGGTATTATGAGGGTAAAGCTTGGGGGTTGAGAAAAATTAATAAATGCTAAAAAAAAATTAAAATTAAAAAATCAAGAAATTTAGATTGGGATATTAGAACTCCCACAAGGCTTGGGGGTTAGAAACCCCCGTTTCCTTATATAAAATATATATATATATATATATCCATATATATATATAAAAATCAATAATCTCAGAGTACCACGTGGAGAGAGAGAGAGAGAGAGAGAGAGAATTATACAATAATCTTAGAGTACCACATGGTCATACTCACTCACCAATCATCATTTATTATGTCCCTTCATGTTTCTCAAGAATAAAGATGTTTAGTGTTTATGAAAGTAATGAGACTTGATAAGGATGTTAAGTAGTATCTCAACCATGATAAGCCAAAAAAAAAAAAATACAAAATCTTAAAACGTAAATCATTTTACACTTAAATTTGTTCAATAGACAACACGATTCCTCCAGGTTAGCACTTGACCTGTATGTCCTAGGTTAGCACTTCACTTGATAACACTTACTAAATTCCAGTTATTCATTTTCCTCTAGTTTTGTGAACTGGACTGTGTTGTGTGTTGGTGGCTCATTACAAGATTCAATTTCAATAATTGGAACCATTTATATGGTAAAACCTTGAGTAAATCACCTATGCAAACAAGAAAAATGATATTATTTTTTTATATAAAATATATATATATATATATATATCCATATATATATATAAAAATCAATAATCTCAGAGTACCACGGAGAGAGAGAGAGAGAGAGAGAGAGAATTATACAATAATCTTAGAGTACCACATGGTCATACTCACTCACCAATCATCATTTATTATGTCCCTTCATGTTTCTCAAGAATAAAGATGTTTAGTGTTTATGAAAGTAATGAGACTTGATAAGGATGTTAAGTAGTATCTCAACCATGATAAGCCAAAAAAAAAAAAATACAAAATCTTAAAACGTAAATCATTTTACACTTTATGGTGAAAATATTTTATTTACTTTTGGTCAACCAAACAATCAAAAATGAAAAAATATTTTATGGTGAAACAAATGAGCTTGAATATACTTCTTGTTTGATAAACCTTCTCAATTAAGTTTAACAAAAAAAAACTATAACTTTTATGAAAAATGAATATGTAGAAGAAAATTTATGAAATTTTAAAATTTTGAAATTTTTTTTACTAGCTTGATATGTCAAGTTTGTTGTTATGCATATAACTCACGTTTTAACAACTATAGGGTACATTTTCTAACTACTCTCATATGTAATAATAAAATTATCATAATTATTAATTGAAATATTTTTTGATATTATTAAAAATTATTAATTGACTTAATGATTTATTAATAAAATAGATCATTTGTTATGTGATTAGAAATTTGAAGAGACGGGTGTATTTGTAGTTTACCCAAATAAGTATAATATGGTTAGGGGTGTGAACGGTATAGTTCGTCCGAGGCAAGCCAAAGAAAAGAAGATAGTTAGGAAAATGCATGATCCTAAAGAAATGCACATGATTAATGCAACACATGCACAATGCAACAACTTGATTTGGCTATGAACATGTCATATGGATCCACTCTAAGCATGCGATACCGCACGTGTTCAAGTAAGAACTAATCAATGATATCAAGAATGATGAGTCAAACTTTAATGCGTGCAAAAAATGTATATAAGGCATGGAAATGATATGAAACGAAACATGATGCTTTATACAACCACGCCAAGCATGTAAATAAAAGGGAGAAAGAAATGGAGGTTGGAAGACATACATCAAGTGTTACAAATTTGCCCTCTTACAAGAAGGTCTGAATGTCCTAATTAACCAATTTTTACAAACACAAATAAATTAACTAATTATTTCAAATATAAATATCAATGTGACTAATCTAAAACCGCACATGTGCAAGTAAGAACATCCTCCAGAAACACCCTCTGCTTACCGCTAGAAACTGCCCTGTTCACAAGCAGAAAAACAGTTCTGCTTTGGACCGTAGGATCTGCTCTATTTTGTTGAAAAACCACCACTGCCGTACAAACAAGGTGGTCGGCCGACCTAATGAACTGGTCGGCCGTACAAGAGAATGGCCGGCCAACCACTATTTCTGGAGGAAAACCTGCTGCAATAGAACTAGGACAGAGTAAGACAGATGTTTTCTAAAGGATGTTTATCCCTTCTACCCTTCCCTATCATGAAGATATTCAAGGGAGAGGTAGATTTGTTTCTCAAATCATCAACTATCGCAAAATTGTTGCATGATGATCTTAGAAACGATAGGAAAAAGGTTTACTAAAAAAAAAAAAAAACTATTCTACCTACCTCTTTCTTATCATGAAGTTACTTCAAGGAAAAGATAGACATACTTCATAAATCATCAAACAGCACAAGATAGTATTTGATGATCGTAGAAACATCTAAGATAAAGATGTAACAACTCAAAAATTGTTGTAAACTTCTTCCTACTTATGGAATAAGGATGAGACATCCATTTCCATGCTTCAAAGTGACACTAGAAGAGAGTTTTCAACACTTGTGGTAAAGAGCTTTATATGAATAACAAGGAAAGTAACAAAGAAACTTGAAATCAAGCTAACTATTAAAAGCTTAAACACACGACTCGCCAAAGTTGTTGACAACTCCTCTTTTGTTCATGGAATAAGGATGAGAATCCATTTCCATGTTTTAAAAATGACCGGAAAGAGTTTTTCAACACTTTGACACGGAAGCTATAACCTAGCTTCAAGGTAAACAATAATAGTATTAAAGCAAAAGATTTACAACTAGTTAATCAAACTTGTGGCGGGGTGGCTAAACTCTAAACCCCGCATGACTACAAGGTTCCAATATACATAAAGAAAGCTATAAGGATCAAAGTAAAGCGATGAACTCAAACAGATTGGCTGCTATATCCTAAACACGCCAAATCTGTAAGGATTTACAACAATACAATTTATTATATTCAAAGCATAAATTAAACATTAAACAGCCCATCAACACCAAAAAAATAGCGTCAAAACTAAGAGAAAGCAAGAAGAAAAAGTAAAGAATAAGCTATAGTAATCAAGCCTAAGGAAGAGTGGCTAACCCCTCCACTTTTTATAAGTTTTAATCACATATTTCAGCCCCTCAAAACAACTCAAAAACAGTGTGTAAAACAAGAAAAAGAGATGAAGAGCGTGAAAGAGAAGTAAAGAAAAAGTTGCAAAGTTATACCTCTTGAAAAGAGCGATAAGTTCTTAGTTAACAAACTTGATTGCAAATAATCTCAAGTATCTGAAATAAGGTTTCAAACTTCAGCAAAAAGTTTCAAGTTTGAGCCTCAATGGTGTATCTATAGTGTATCTATATTCAAGAGGGTAGAAAGGTGCTTTAGATTGCCTTTTAAACTCTTGGAAAATTTTGTTCAACCTCTAAAACATGAGGGGAAGGGCTGTATTTATAGATTTTTGAAACGTTTTGATCGTAAATATCTTCAAAAAGGAAAGGTGGCTGAAATCTCATGCAAGGGAGGAGCCTACTGCAGCAAAAATATCTGTTGCGTTGAACATGGCCAGCCACTCAAGAGGATGTACGGTCGGCCCAAAAAATGTGGCATGCCGACCATTTTTTGGTCTTGTTGCCTTTTGAGTAGTCAGGCTAGAAAAACAAGTTTTGGTCCAAATGGGTTACAAGGTTTGGGTTTGAAGCTCAAAACTGAATTCCTTTACTGAAGATTCGAAAGATTACATAGTATAACATGTTATCATCAGGTGTTCAGAATGAAGTGCCCAAGTCTCATTACAACAATCTGCACCTTTGGCGACCACTTTTGGCTACTAAAACATTTTTAGTCGCCAAAAGTTGGACCTTTACTGACAAATTTTCCTGTTGGTCGGCAATGATTAAAAGTGGCAGATATGTAAACCCCGCGTTTACTTAACATTTCTCACGCATTAGGGTTCGAACACTCGAACACCTATACGGATTCTCCT